TAATAATCGAACGCTAGTTGAAGCAGCAAGAGCAGACTGGCTCATGAAGAACTGCCTCAGGCCCTTTGGGCTGAATTAATTAATACTGCTGCTTACATACTCAACCGAACTGGACCATCTTCTGTAGAAGGAAAATCACCGTATGAAGTGTGGTTTAACAAAAAACCTAAGATAACACATCTACGAATCATTGGTAGCAAAGCCTATGTTCATATTCCTATGCAGAAACGACGTAAAATGGATACTAAAGCTGTAAAGGGTATCTTCGTTGGATATGAAGGTGACGATGGTTACAGAATTTTTGTTCAACCAGGAAATAAAATGCATCGATCAAGAAATGTTATTTTTGATGAGAAGGTTGTCAAACCAAATTCAGTGATTTTGCAAGAAGAAAGTTGTTCAGATGATACAGTTTCGATTGATGTTGAAATCAAAAATGAAAATAAAGAAACTTTATTTAAAGAAAATATTTCAACTGATGAAGATGTTCACAACCGTAGTTCAGTTTCATCTGATGAAGAAGATCAATCTGACTGTTGTAATCAAAAGACCAAAGGTATGGTTTTACGTGACAGGAATAATATCAAAAAGCCATCTCGTTATGATCCTTTTGTTATGTCTGCAATATGTGAAGTACTTGAACCAGAGAGCTACAAAGATGCCATTCAAAATGATGAAAAAGATGAATGGTTTAAAGCCATGAGCAGTGAAATGCAGTCACTAAAGGAAAATCAAACGTGGGATTTGGTAAGTCTTCCAAAAGGTCATAAGGCAATACAATGCAAATGGGTCTACAAGGTAAAACACAATCCAGATGGTTCTGTTGAACGTTTTAAAGCCAGGCTAGTGGTAAAAGGTTTTTCTCAGAAAAAGGGAATTGACTATGAAGAAACCTATAGTCCTGTGGTCAGAAGTTCAACTATAAGAACCCTATTGAGTGTTGCTGCAAATGAAAAGATGTCACTCATGCAGTTTGATGTGTCAACAGCATTTCTTTACAGCAAACTAGATGAAGATATTTACATGGAGCAACCTGAAGGTTTTAAAGATAATTCAGGAAGAGTCTGTAAACTCAAGCGAAGTCTCTAGGACTTAAACAAGCTCCAAGATGTTGGAACAAACGCTTTGCTGAATTCTTGAAAAAAAAACATTTCAAACAAAGTGATGCAGATACTTGTTTGTTCATTAGAATACAGGGAGGAAAGAAACTCATACTTGCACTGTATGTTGATGATGGACTAGTTGCAGGAACCGATAAAGAAAAACTAAAAATATTTGAAAAAGAATTAAAGTCAGAGTTCAAGATAACATCTAAACCTGCAACATCCTATACAAGAATGATTCCTGAAAAGTTTGGGATGAGTCAGTGTAAATCCTGTACAACTCCGATTTCAAAATCTGAGTTCAATGAAAACAAAAATGAACACGAGGAAGTGAAATTTCCTTACAGATCAGCAGTTAGTGCATTGATGTACTTGATGACGGGAACAAGACCAGATATTGCATATGCAGTTGGAGTAGCATCCAGAAGTTTAGAGAAACCCAGCAAGTCCAATGTAGCACAAGTTAAGTAAATTTTCAGATATTTGCAAGGCACAGCTGATGTCGGTATTGTTTACAAGTCTGGTCAAAACAATACACTTATAGCCTACAGTGATGCAGATCATGGAGGAGATAAATCTAGTGGAAGATCGACATCAGGTGTAATCTGTATGTTTGGAGAAAGCGTGATCAGTTGGTTTAGCCAACGTCAACCCTCAGTTGCGATTTCAACTACTGAAGCAGAAATCGTTGCCGCAAGTGAAGCAGCTCGTGAAGTGATATGGCTCAAACGATTGTTGAACGACATTGTACATCTAAAGAATAAGCCAGAAATTTTTGTCGACAATGAAGCAGCAATTTGTTTAGCACACAATCCAGAACTTCACAGAAGAACAAATCACATCCACATTAGACATTTCTTTGTCAGAGAAAAGGTTGCAGAAGAAGAAGTTTCAGTTGAACGAGTTGCGACAGAACTTGCTGATGCTCTGACAAAACCAATGGTAGGACCAAGACTAAAAAATCTGATGTGTGCGATGGGTCTTCAGAACATTTAGGTTAAGGTCATCTAATGTTTTAAATAAAATGAGGTGTTGAGTTTTATGTTTTATATTAAAACATTATGATTTATAATATACATTTATTTTTCTTTGGACCAAATGTTCTTTGCTTTGTATGTAACTTCACTTTTTTCTTTTTCTGTTGATCCGGTGGATAATAAACAAGTCGAGAACGTTGCTTAATTTATTTCTCTTCTTTTAATGTCTTTCAATAGTATATCAATTAATTAAACGATCTACGTAACAGGAAATTTAACAGTTATAAATGGAAAGAACCATTCAAAATGTTTTTTAAAGAAACGCGTTTGTAAAATATCTAGTTGACAGGACTTTGTAGGTTAATGAAGCACTTCTTTCCTGACATCAGCCTCAGACACCGCCCGAAAAGTCGAAAATAACTATTGACATCCATGATCATCACTGTTAAGACAAGACTGATTTTCAGTGTCAATCCCCTGTTTTATCACTTTAATTTTTTCATTAAAAAGAGTCATGAACTGGCAAGCATTGAGATCATTGAATTCGCGTTTAGTGACTGTTTAGAAAAATTTTATTATATATATATATATATATATATACATATATATTTACAATATTCTATAAATTTTACCGAATGTTTGGCGTTAATATGTTTGTAGTTCGTTTTTTCGATTAACTTATTTTTCGAATTCATGCTGCAAATAAGGCCGTATTTCTCATTTGGACTCAACACACTCAATCACAATAGTTCTTTTTTTGGATTTTTCTCACTAAAGTTTTTCGGAGAACGTTTAGTTTATTAAAATTCAAAATAAACTTATTTTCCGAATTCATGCTGCAAATAAGGTCATATTTCGATTCCGAATGAATCATCATCAGTGCAAGTTGATTTATATAGGGAAATATTCACTTGGTGAAAATGAACTTAGATAGAAATTTAATAAATTATTATTTTTTTCAATCATTTAAATATTAAATTTCTAAATTTAACCGCAATAACGGAATAAAAACTTGTAAAATTGAATATAAATAAAAACACTGCATAGACAAACGTCAAGATATGAAAAAAATTGTTTGATAATATAAATAACAAAAATGTTATGTTAGTGGCGTGTTGTTGCCTGCCATATTTTAGCGGCTGTTTGTTGTTGTTTATTGATATTTGAGGCCGGTGAATCATGTAGGCGAGTAGAAGTATTTTGGCCCAAGATTCCCGCCACCTTTAGCAACTGACCGTCAGTTAGACAACTTGGTGGATTGTGTTCTGTAATTGCACGGTTTGGTGCATTTCCTCGCTCTGTATATAAATGTTTTATGATACCAACAAATGTCTGGTTCATCCCCATCTGCTGTTCTAGATGCAGATTTCATCTTAGTTTCTTGTTGATGATGGTCGCGCATTGATTGGGAAATTATTAATTCAAATCTATCAAAATAGACATGAATATCGCTTTTTAATACTACAGATGTTGATGATGCTTGTAAAATTATTTTTGGCTTTTCTGTTGAAATAAATATATCAATATATAAATAAGTTTTATTTGACTTCATTCAGTTATGCCCAAAATCAATTTCAAATATCTGCATTCCACCATAAATATTAATTAATTTTGGTAATCATCAGCTTAAAATTTCCTGCACTAACATATATCAATTATATCATAGTATGCCATTTTTTCGACTTCCTCATCTTACTCATAAAAAAATATTTCCATGCCAGTCATAGACCGAACCTACAGAAATATTTTCCGTCTTTTCAAAATCATTTAGTTCAGTTGCAACGTTTTCTGAGTTGACACTACTAATACTGGTTACAAAAAGATTGTATCTCGCTAGCTATTACGCATCGGCTGCCTAGAAGTGTTTTTGAGTGCGAATGTTGAAAGTTTTTTCAAATTAAGTAAATTTTGCCGCTCAAATTCCTGCTCTTTATTTGTTAATTCCCTTCATTAGAAACATTTAAAAAGCATTCATTTTTCACTTTATTAAGACCAAACTAAACATTCGTCACTGCAATGTTCGTGTAACATTTTCTTTTTTGGCACGACGCCTTTCAAATTAAATTTCCGGGCTGATATCGACTCATCGCATATTGTTTTCCATGTAGAATCAGCTTTCCATCTAACGATGTCAAATCTGTCAAATCTGAATGCGGTCTTTTATCAATTCCATTGCAAAAGCCATGTCAATATATATACACACTGCATTTCTTTCAATACGTGACATATAATATTATTAAATTATTAAATATTATTAACCAATTTAAAACTTTCATTGTCACTCGATGATGATTCAAGCCAACTCAGATAAACTTGCTGGTACATATAATTTTTAAATGTTTAAGAATGATTGCAACGTAAAATTTATAAAGAATATAATTTTAAATCGTTTAAAACACTTGGTTCGTTTTTTTGAAATGTTATTTAAAATGAAAAAATTTTCTCCCTAGCTTGAAATAGAGGCAACTGCCTTACCCCCTCTTTAGACGCCCCCAGGTACGCCGAGGTCTCTGTCCCAGTAACGTATGTATATAGTTTACAATAGAAATAAAATGCAAAGCAGGGTATATCTATTAACATGGTTTCAACAACTGAATTGATAAAAGACTGTACTCATTAATTTGGCACCATCAGAAGAAATGATGACTCGACAGTGGAAATAACATAATGCCATTATAAAATATCGTTTTTTTAATTATAAATAAATGTTTAAAAAAATAGAAATTATCGATTAAATAAAAAATTTGTTTGATACATTGTGTTCACTACCACAATGTTTTTCATATACGATTATCAACATCACGATTACACAATAATATGAAAATAAATAATATAAAATAAATACGCCCGACGTAGTATAGTTTGGCTATTAGTAACAACCTTGAGCCATCTTGAGAAATTTCATGACTACTTTCTTTCAAAATCTCTAAAGCTGGTGCGAATAAAGTAAAACATGGCTCTTAAAAGAATTAATAAAGTATGTAGACGATTTGGATATATTTATTCTACAGTTATTTATTCTAATGAATTTGATAGGAGATTTTAACCACGACTTGAGTATAAACAAAATGAACGAGTTTTAAAAATAAAATACAACATGGTCTTCTCTTGTTGTCTCCTGCTACTTGAAGAGTTCCTTTATAAGCGAGTTACAAAATGCGTGATTTGTATAAAAAGTTTTTAGAGTTGATTTGAGGGAGATTATTAGTAGATATCAGATTATATCCAAGATTTATATATATAAATTTATTTTAAATTAGGTCTTTTTGTGTTTTTATTAGGAACATTTTATTTTTTTAGCATTTTATTATTATTTTTGTAATTTAAAATTAACGTTTTTTAAATTTGTTAATTATTTTGTTTTATTAAATTTGATTTTATCAGGATTGAAACTTAATAGTTTAATTTTTTTAATTTAATTTTTTTTTAACTTAGTGTACCATATTATATTCAGGAACTCCAAGACATGTCAAAAGACCCTCCAGCTGGTTGTTCTGCTGGACCTGTTGGTGATGATTGTTAGTTTTTTTATCTGTTAAGCTCTTCATAAACACTAAACAGTTTATGTAGTAGTTCAGCTCAGTCTATCTCTACAATGCCAAATGTTTCTCTATATAACTTTGATTTTAAATTATTTTATATATGAACTAGTCTCCTCTTGCCTAAATTAAAATTGTTTGATTTGAAAGAATCCCTATTTTTAATTTTCAAACATATCATTATTTGATTGACATCCTGTTTGTGCTTGCTAGAATGTCAATTGCTTATGCCTTATATGCAATTGTATGATTATGTTTTTTTAAGGCTTTTACATTTACATGTTTCTCAATAAAAATTCATTTGAATCGTGACAGTGTAATTTATTTTTTTTTTCAGTATTTCATTGGCAAGCAACTATCATGGGACCTGTTAGATCAAATTTTTTTTACATATACATTTTTTAATTTACTGAAGTTTTTTATAGAATATTCAGCAGTTTTTTTTTATAGAATATTCAGCGGCCTACTTTATTGTATTGTGTTGTATTGAAGAAGATTTATAAGGGCATCTATCGAGTTATTTTCTGAAATGCTGTCTATACTTATTAATCCTCTTTATACCCCTTGAAAGCTCTTTACGTGTTTGTTTGTCTATGATGATAAATATGTGCTGGTCAATTTTGACAGAACTATTCAATAAGCATGGTTAAATAAGCCTTTGTGATCTTGTATTGTATTAGTTAGAATCTCTTTGAATTAATTGAGTTAATTATAAATACTTTACTGTTACAATTTGTTTAGAATATTTTTTTTATAAAATTAACGAGGAAAGTTAATAATTTGTTTGAGGTTTTATTTGTAAGTTAAATTGGGACCTAAAATGATAAAAGATCTTCAAAATAAATGAATTTTTCAAGTAATTAGAGGAGTTATATGATGATATTTTTTTTATTTGATAATAATGTTTTAGGTTATATAAAGATAGTGTATCAAAATTTATTGCATCTCAAATTAATTATCAAATCTTTTAACAGTTTATAAAAATTGGCATTTATATTAATACCATGTTACATTTTTTATAGCATAGATATTAACCAATAAGTACTGAGAAGCTTAATCTAAACGTTTTTAATAAATGACAGGGCATTAATTAATTAAAGATATCTGTTGAGTAATAAAGGATGTTATAAATGGTTTCATATTTCAATATTCTTTAATAACTTATTCATTGATTAACTAATTAATTGATTACTAATTAATTGATTACTAATTAATTGATTAACTAATTAATTGATTAACTAATTAATTGAATGCAGCCGGACAGCCCATATCAAGGTGGTGTGTTCTTTCTCACGATACATTTCCCCACTGATTACCCATTCAAACCACCAAAAGTATTTTATTAGTTTTTAATTAACATTTCAGTGTTAACTATTACATGTTTGAGCTTTATAGAAAGTTTTTTGATTGGTCTTTTTGTTATAATTTGGTCACTTTTGAAAAGGTTTATGTTTTAAAAGTAAAAAAATTTTCTTGTAGTAAATAAAAACAGCAATATGAAAAATTACACTAAAGTTTAAAAAAGTTTTTGCATCACGATTAACATTAAAGCTAGTTTTGAATAATGATGTGTAAAACAAACAAACTTAAATACCTTTATAGAATATAAGAATTTTTAATTAATATGCTGTTTTTATCTGATGTTTTCCTGTTGAACAGTTTTAATTTTTTTTCACTCTGAAGTTTATGAAAATAGTATATAGTTTTCTTCCTGCTAGTAATTTGCTCGATGGATGTCAATTTTGCAATTCATAACAGCTTTTCTAATTGCTAATTTTAAATCAAACAATCAAAATTTACATCTGACTTATTGTTTAGTAAATATAAGCTTCATCTCAACACCAGCTTGCCTTCACGACTAGAATATACCACCCGAACATAAACAGCAATGGAAGCATCTGCTTGGATATATTACGATCACAGTGGTCGCCAGCACTCACAATTAGCAAAGGTTTTTTTATAATTTTTTTTCTTGTTGATTAACTCAGCAAACCTAAGGAAGTATTAATTAGTGCAATTTATCATCTTATGGTTGGTGTAACTGATTCAATATTTGTATTGGAATGTCAAATATAGATTGTGCAGATTGAATATTTACTTCCAAACAGAATAAAGAAAAATTGTTGGTTTAAAACCTTAGCTAGATTTCTTAATTTTTAATCAAATTGTTTAAAAACTTTTAAATATTTACTGTTATCCTATCAAGTCCATGCATGTTTGAAATTTTATCTGTTTGGTTCCTGTTATATACATTCAAAGGCATTTTTTGTTCTGACTACCATTAAAAGATGCAACAGCCAACATCTCTTAAAACTGGACAGAAATTATAGTTGTAGAAACTCTTGCAACTCATTTCACTATTCTAAGCCATTTTTCCTTTTTACCATCTTATTGTGCTAGGTTTACTTTCCTTGATCAGTCTGTAGTCTTTCATTTTTGTGTTTAGATTTTACATCCAGTGTGCTGTTTTTTCAGATTCAATCTTTATTGTTCTTCAATTCATTCACTTTTTTTTTTCTTCACAACTTTTTTTCAATTTTTTAACTTCCTTGTTAATCCATGGTTTCATGGTTTTCATCTTTTACCTATGCTACCTTTAGGAATAGAATAATTGATTCAATCACCCCTAACATGCGATTTTTCAAAAATTTTGCAACTGACTAAAGCATGGATTTTATATATTTAGCTGTTTAAACTTTTGTCTCACCTTGTTGTAGTCAGCTTCATTAAAGTTATACCTCGTTGGATTATTTTTGCTTCATCCTGTTATTTTATTACATTGATACAGACTGCTTGGTGATCACTGGTGAGAAATGTGAGAATTGAAGTTTCCCAATAAATTCCAACAGTCTGCCTCATCTCTAGAGCTTTTCAGCCTCTAACACACCTACCAAAATTTTATCTCCATAGCACCTAATCTCACGCCGACACACTCCTCATGGTTGTTTCTTTCTGTTGCTGTTTTACTCTAATTAACATAAAGCCAAACTCCTCTTGCACTAAAGGTAAAATCATTCTGATTTCCTTTGTCTTTTCTGAACAACACATATCATGCTAGATGTAAATCTCTTCCACTAATACATGCTTTGGTCCAGGATTCTGTTATTTCAATAGTAGTATATGGTTGTTCTTTGTCAATGTACCATTTAAATTCTTCTATTTTTTATGCAGACGGTAATTTTCACAAAGAAAACTTTTAGTGCTTCTGTCAATTCGGTGAAGTGAGTGAGCTAAATACGTTATAAATGAAACTTCATGGCTGACTTCCTTGATGCACGCTCGAGGTCATGAATACTTTCCGGCCATGTTTGAAGCATTATCGCAAGATTTTTGCCAACAGTTTTTGAAGATCCAGGTTGTGTCTGTGAAAAACAAGGTATTCTTTTAAATAGGTCTTGTGGTTTGTGGCCAGTGTTTGGTAGACACACTAAAAATGCTTTGTTAGGCACTTCGCTTTTTGAACGTATCTGATTACCATGGAAAGTTATCAACTTTTGCTCGGTCAGGTGTTGAGTAAACAGTTGAGGAAAAATATTTGCCTCTTCTTATTTGGTTGACGAGTTCGTCTTGTACATTATTTGCCAATATTGCTACTAACTCTTCTATAGTTGTTGAGGACAGATAATATGCATTACCCTTGCCACATTCACTGAATCTTACTATATGATGCACCATAAAAAATCAAAGTTAGCGATAAGCATCATGTACTTTCCACTTTCTGAATTTCCAAACTTTTCAATGTGTTCACACAATGGTAGTCCTTTTAAAACCAGTATTTTTACAACTTTTACCACACGAAGAAGAGTCAATTTCCAGTAATTTATTTCATTTCCAATTGATCTTTCAACTGCAAGTATATTTAACTTATAGCACAACTTCTCATTTTATTCTTTTTTCAAATCTCTCACTAAAGGTAATTGTATTTGTCACTGAAAATGTTGAGCAATGTTTCCGTTTATTTTCTGCTTTGTGGCAGGTAAATAATAAGATGTGTGGTTTTGTGGCCATGCATGGTTTCAAGCGAAATGAAAATTCTATCACCTTTCATTTATATTTTATTTCAGCTCATATGAAAAGCAAACAACAAAGTTTTTGAGAAAGTATATTAGTAGGTTCTATTTCAATAAAATATTCTTTCCAGATAATTTTTTTTGGGTCTGCAGTTTTCAGTTGAGTAGCAATTATATATCATTCCTCTGTCCAGATAACGCTGGGCTTCCTTATTGTTCTTCCGGTTCATTATTCGGATAGCATCCTGACAGTGAAAAGCGTTGAAATTTTAAAATTCAAGACTTTTAATGCATCCATTTGTAAACTGTTCATTTCTTGTACATTTTTCACCGTACCCATATATTTTACACGTGTGTTCTGTAGAATTCCAAGCTGTAGACATCCACACCTGCAACAGATTGTAAAAACTTTATTCATAAAAACTTTCATCCATGCATTTGCCGTCTCTGTACTTGCAGACTCACAAACAAAAAAAATAAGACTCAGTATAATGACCATAAATCACTTCAGTTGTTTTTTATTCCCTGGGTTCATTCTTTTTTGAATTCTCTCACGATTTTGAGCACTTATTGTATCCGTCACTATAAATAAGCATAAAATTTATTAACCTTCCTTGCATGCATGTGCTTTGTTATCTGAAAGATTGGAGTTCTGTCATTATTCACTTAGCATCTTTTACTTAGCGTTACTTGGAAATTACGTACTGGAAATTACGTACATACTTCATTGGAATCTTCTGGAATAGAGAAAAAATAATTCAATAATAATAACATCTCAAATAGATTTAAATATCATTTTTTGTATCATAATTTACGTTAATAATGAATGATATGTTAGCAATATTTTGATGGGTCTTTAAATAAAGGAGCAAAAAAACTTTTAAATCTTAAGTTATGACCAGATTATGAGAGGCTAGCATTATTTTCACGAACTGTGTGAACTGTGAGAAAGTGAGTCCTAATATTTGAAGTAGTGAAGGCAATGGTGGCGCGTAATTGTTGTTGCTCTTATTACATTTGCTGCTGATATTTTGCACTTTTAATTATGATTTATAACCCAATTGCAACGTTTACTTTCAGTTTTACTTTCAATTTGTTCACTGTTGACGGATCCAAACCCTGATGACCCTCTTGTACCAGAGATTGCTCGCATGTACAAAACGGACAAAGAGCGGTATAACCAAATGGCGAAGGACTGGACCCACAAGTACGCCATGTAGTGATTGATGTTCCCGCACGTCTCATCTACGACATGTTATTTAATTCATATGATATAGTAGTGATGATTTATTTCTATCTATATGTATTCATATAATTGACGTCATGGAATATACATTATATTATAATCATTGAGGTTCAAAATGTGTTATGCTTTTTGATTGGTTTAATTTTATTGTGACGTTGTTCGGTAGGTATAGGCTGATAGTAATTTCTAATATATATATATATATATATATATATATATATATATATATATATATATATATATATATATATATAAGTTATAATACCTGGTTTATACGATTTGGTTTATTGGTAATATAAGCTGGAACAGAATTGGTGTGGCAAACGATGATAACCTATTTTTCACTCAGTTTTCTGGCATTGTTATAATTTATTTATATAGTTTTGTTCGGTTAAACATAAATTTTTTAATTCTGTTTTCTTGGTTTCAGATGCGATATTTTATTAGTCACTTCGTTAAATTGAAGAGATCACAAAATGACTTGTATACCCTCGGTGTAAAAGATGAATGAACATATGAAATAGTGCTGTTGTAATATCGGTTTCAATTCGTTCAGCTGAGTTTGACTTCAAATTTGCACACAACTGAATTAACGGCTAGCTTGTTAATAACACATTGTTATAAATTCGATGGGGTTTTTCTCTTATAGGATAATCAAATTCGGTGTTTCTGCGTTAAGTTGAAGGGAATGAGGAAGTTGAGTGGAAGCACCTTCGTTCTAGGAGCATTACTTTATAAATATTTTTTAAGGTTTTTAAATTTAAAGACCAAACATTAAATTTATTTAGCAATTATTTTTGAACATTATATAAAACTTTATTATTATTATTATTTATCAAATATGTGTCGCTATCTATATGGTATACATAAAGTCATACAACGTATTTATGTACTTCTGTATATATTGGACACATTTTAATATATTTTTTAGAATGTATTATTCTGGATTGTAAACCCTGTTTATGCGTTAACTGGAATTTCTATTACAAATAAAATGAACCCTTCGTGAATGAAGATTTGAGTTTCATTCATTTTACGTCAGATACGTGGCATAGCAGCTCCTGGGTTGTGCCTGCTTGCTCCTATGAAGTTTGGTGTATCTATCTCTTAAGGGTTGCATTTCGTTGCGCTGTGGGATTACGTTGTATTTATAAAGTTGCATGTTATTTATACTGTGTATACTTTTTTCAGGATACACTATGATAAATTTATACAAAATTAATTTAATGATTAAAAAATATAGATGCTCTAATTTAATCGAAAATGTTTTTCTAGTTTCAAAAGATGTTGAAAGATTTATCTTTCACATATCGTCAGAATTTTTTAAATATTTGCTCTAAAATCCATAACTTGATTTGATGTAACGTCGTGGTAATTAAATAGATACAAGATCGCAAAAGGCGCAGAATGAAAATAGAACTCGTCTCGCCGCCTCCTTTTTCGATTTTAGTTTTTGATGATCAAACGCTTAAACTTTTTTATTAGAACCGACTGACGTGCAGACTTATGAAAATTATTGATTGACGATGTCGTCTGCAAAGAAAGCATCGTTTCAATAACATCAATGTGAACGCAATATTTAATGGATGATGCACATGCACAAGTCACGAACACATGTTGCGCGTTGTTGCAACATTATGATTAAGCATGGCGATGAGTAATGCACTGTTCTGGGCTGGATCGTTATGAGAAGATAATGCTTGCTTGCATCGTTGTGTTATCGTTATATATAGATAGTCAATAATCAGTTACTAAGCTTTGTGGTGTCTTTTAACAAAAGTTTACCGAATGCTCAAAATCTGTCGTGTTGATTGTTACCATTATGATTATAATTAGGAACCTGCAGAACGTCATCGTTTGTTCCTTGCAAGCATTTATTTATGGTAATGTGCACGAGCTTGCTGATTCCACGCCAATATGCGCGACTCACTGTCTCAATGCGCAACCGTGTTTTTATTTACAAGCTAGCTTCAGTAATTAAAGTAAGTTTGTTTTTATTGCCTTGTATTGAATTTACGATAACAACAACTTTTCGGAACGTTGCGGAGATAATTCATCCTTCTCCGTGTCTATCTAACGAACATAAACGTTTGTTTTGTACGCTACGCAAAGCTTTACATTTTTCAACACAGATATCGGTGCTCAATAAGATCAACCAAAATCTTTTTTATCGAATTACTCTTACTTACCTATGTTTATTTATTATACAAATGTTAAGTAACAAACAATCAGATAATGCGCGCGTGAGTTTTGTATAAGTGAAATGGCGTAAATTATTTGAAAGAAGCACACTACACATGCAATTGTTTTGTAGATCATTCAATTTTACACATGTTGTGCCATGTTTGTGTGGGATGACGATCGGATGATGGTTGAATACACCACGCTCATTGATCGATTGTGAAATGCGTTATTATTATTCTAGCATCGTCGTTTTTTTACTACGTCGTTATCACTTTCGTCGTCATCCTATTTGCCGTTGTTGTCATCTTCCTATTTATTTTCAGTGTACACTTGTACGCTCTTTTAATATAGCTCAGTTAACTACCTTCCTGCACTTTGTGTGTTCAGTATTTCAAGTTGACTGCTTGCGTGAACAAGCAGCCTTCTGCCTCCACCCCACACTCCAGTTACACTCATTCATTTTATTGCAATGTTATCATTCCGCACATGAAAACTGATAAATAATTTTTCGTTATCGCTGCTAACAACATTTAGCAAATTATTGTTTGAAGTTTTCGACTGATCAATATTATCTGAAGTTTGTATGTACACAACAAACATACAAGCATATGTAACAGATGTAGTAGCAACAGATGTACGCACTCGCACGTTCACACAAAGATATTATTGTACTGTATTGTACACGTATGACCTCACCTTTGTCTACCTTGATTGTGTATTTGTGTGCAACAGTGAACTCGTATATGCAGCTATGCCAAATTGAGAAATGATTTGAGATTTTAGTTTTTTTTCGCATGTGTTTTAGTTTATCGAGTCTCGTTTTGCTTCAAACACTCAGCAACATAAAGACATGAAACAACAGAAAAACAACAAAGAAAGTTAAAAATTAGTTGAACGCAAACAGGACAACTTCATAGACGACACACGACTCCTTCGTTACTTTTCATTGAATTGATCGATATAGTAGCTACCTACGTAACATGTACATGTAACAACAATGAAGATTATGCAACAATCTTTTGAAATCGTTTGAGCGACTGAGTGAAAAGTACAGTCACGTGTTGTTTCCAAATAAATATTGTTGCTCGCTGCTTTTACTCGCAAACAACATCTTTTCTTCATATTCTTCATTTATAAACTCAGACTTTAGAAACTCAAAAATGGTGCGCGTTCTCGGCTGAGCGTTGATATTTACCTTAACAACCATAATATAAACAATCTTGCCGTTAAAATTTTAAAAAATTTTAAAAATCGCGTTTTATATTGTTTATAGTTATTAAATTTATTTTATTGGTTTTCTGTTTTAATTAAATAATTTATATAAATTAATAATTACTTGTTCCTTTATATCTTACATACCTTATATATAATGCACTGAAGATGAGTTATTTATAACTGGAAATAGCTATTTGCAAATTTATTTAATAAAAATTTTTTAAAAAAACAATAAAATGTCTAATTTCTCGGAAATTAATAAATTAAAAAGAAATATGAAAAAGTTGAACAATGTTGAAAGTAGTGTTGAATTTTTGAAATATATATATATATATATATATATATATATACATATATATACATAAACTTACATATCTGTTATGAAACAAAATTAAGACAATCAAATATTGGTGTCCCGCCAAATTTAAGAACGTAACTTTGATCCGCCAAATTAGAAAACAACATCAATCTGCTGTGTTGTGCTGTTGTGTAGTTGTGTAATTATGTAGTTGTTCTACTGTATTGTTGTACTGTTGTGTTGTTGTGCTGTTGGGCTTGCTGCTTTCATGTGAAGCACTTAATTTCAACTGCACATTTATGGCGATGTTATTAAGCTTATGCAAAAAATGCTTGAGTGAGTACTGAGTATGCATCTGTGTCTTTAGTAGTTATTAAGTTGCCTTTGAATAACACGACAGTAGGTACTCGCATCGCTGTTCAAACGATACAGCTTGAAAAATGTAAAATATGATCAAATATTTCAAAAAATGATGTCCTATGATGTCATTATAAAGTCTCAAAACTCAATCACCGCAAGAAGTTTTATAAAGATAATGAGAAATTTTAAAAAATCAGTGTTTTCGTTATGTATTTTATTTACTGATTAGCATTTATTTTATTGCGGTATACTATTTTATTGTCCAGCCAATCATTCTCGAGTTCGTGACTTCATTTTCATTTGATATTTTTTTATGTGTTAAATAAAATAATTCAAGCATCAAATATTCGAACAAACTGAACAATAAATATTTTATATAATTATTATGGCATTTAATAAATGATTATACGTCATCTTCAAGCGCTTGTCAAAATTAAATTTTAAAAATTTCTACCGAGACTTGTTATTATGGTATTGTTATTTTTGGTGTAAGCCTTATGCTCTTTTGCTTCAATCGAAATCAAACTTTAATATCGTATCGAAATGCTTCAAAATGATGACGAAATTTTGATGCTCTCTTGAACAAATTGAATCTATTTGATATATATATTAACTGCACCCGTGTGAGGTTTGCGTAGTAACCTATTATAACGCTGATTTTGGGTTTTTTGGTACGCACAGCCATGTTCAGTTCACAATGTTTTCTGTCTTCTGGCCAAATGCTAAATTTGTAAGTTTGAATATGAAAATTTTATAAATTTCAGTCACCAACCATTCTTTATTTCATAACGAATAAATATCTGTTGCAGTAGGACTGCCTTATATCGAACCTCTATAAAACGAAAGTTTCTATATAACGAATTTTTTATGTCCCTTGAAATTTTACATACAAAACTGTTTCTATAGAACAAAACAACAGATGATGGAAAATATTTGTAGGCAATACAATTTATTTACGGGTCTGCTGATTTATAAGTTTAACCAAATAGTTTTATGAACCGCATAAACAATCACAATGTTAATAATAAAATAATAACAAAATAATAATAGTAGCAATAATAATAAGGGTGGTGATGAAGATGATGATAATGTGATAAGATATTTATAGCAACAGTAAGTTAATATACTGGTAATAAAACAAGGTACACATATGCAATAAAATTATTTATAGCTCGCCTAATTAATTACCTCAGTCAACAAAAATATCTTGCACAATGACCTGCTTCGAATGCACTCTGGGTTGTTGAACTCAATGATTGTCATGCATGCCCGTATCTCTTTCTCTCTCTCTCTCTCACACACACACAACACACAGTCACCACACACACACTGTGGACTCACATGATTGACTCAATAGTAACCGTAATTACTGTTACTATTTACACTGAAACTGCTGCCATTAATTAATTAATGTTTTTATATCACTAACATTTTTGTCATATTTTATTGTTATCTGAGAATTATTTATTTGTTTGCCATCTTTTGTTACTATTATTAATTTTAATTTCAACTACTTGCAGGTTTTAAGAAAAATATTACATACAACTTATCCAAGAAATTTTACAACATCTTTAAAATATTTTACAACATTTTTAAAATGTTTTACAACTTTTGTTAACCATTGAACTTAGAGTTTTTTTAATGAAGATAAAGTGGAATCCATAGAAATAAATGTTGTAAAAGCCAGGTTTATTATATATATATATATATATATATATATATAATAATATAATGTTATAAATATAATATAATGTTATATATATATATATATATATATATATATAACCTTAAAAATTAATAAACCTCTAATAATTAAACTTAAAATTAATAAACTGTAACTGTATAACTTTTGCACACTATTAACTGCATAGATAATGAAGAGAATGTAAGAAAGGGACTAGGGGCATGCGAAAATAGATATTGCAAGATTACTTGGTTTAGAGTATTCGAAGGTCATTAATGTACTGCGGGTATATGCGTCAAAATGCCGAGTGGACTCATTTAAAACGCGGCGTCCCAAAGTTACGAAGTTAACTTCAGATGATAGGGAAGCTATTCTTTCATACATCACAGAAGATTCTTCAGAAACGTTGAAGACGATAAAGCAGAAGTTTGCTGAAGATAAAGGCGTGTCGGCTTGTTATCCGTCAATATCGAAAGTACGCATTGCAGCTGGCAAAATATGAATATGCTTTGCAATATGCGCGGGTTGCTGAGCGTCCAATATTTTTTCTAGAAAAAATGGGTATCCAGGTTACAACGCGACGAAAATTTGGCAGAGCCCCAGTTGGTGCAAGACCTCGTAAAATTGTCCCTTGTGCGCGGTCAAAAAATATTTTCATTTCCGCTGCGATGTCAAGAGACGGGTTATACTATTTTTCTGAGTTTAGAAGTGACTTTAACACCGAAAAGTATTTTACAAAATTTTTAAATCAATTTAAAAAAAAATTGGCATCGGATAATATAAAGAATGCGGTGTTGATTATGGACAATTGTTCTTTTCACAAACTTGTGCAATATGTGCTGAAATTGAAAAAGCCGGGCACATGCTATGTTTCTTACCACCGTATAGCCCGCACCTAACTCCGACCGAGGAAATCTTCTCTAAGTGGAAGAATGCAGTCAAAGCACAAAACTGTGCAAATGAGTCGGAGCTTATGGCCAGCGTTTTGGAATGCAGTCATGAAATCACACCTGAGGACTGTAGAAACTCTTACAATCGCATGGAAGTTTTCTTGGTGGTGAACGGTTTGAATGAGAAAAAATTCATTTATTCCCAACTCAATTTGTTATTTATCTAATAAGACAAATAAGGAGAAGAAGAAGAAAAAAGAAGAAATAAAGTATAATAAAATTATCGTGATTGTTTGTTACTAGTATGAAATGTGGACGGAAGATTGCAGATAAGAAGCAGGAATAAAATATACCCACGTGAAATCGATATCAAGGCAAACTTCAGCAGCAGCTAGAATCTTATCAATGACCTCTCTTTAGAAGTTTGTGAGAACAACTCACACACAAACACACACACACACACACAACTTTTATGATATATTGCTTGCTTCATTATTTATTAACTTGTATTTATTATTATGCTACATGCTCTTCAAAACTTTTCTTTATTCAATCAATCATCTCATCAATATGAAGATGTTTGTGTGCCTCTACGCTTCTATATTTGTCCAGTTTGTTGCAGTTTTCACATTAAATTTATCTGTACACATTTTTTATCGGCAGTTCAATATTTTCCCCTATTGAAGAAGAGTTTATGCTGTATGATACTTGTTACGAATTCATGACCCAAAATGTGCAGCCAGTTTTTTTAGGATAAAAAAATTAGGAATGACTTTTGAAGTGAGAAGGAGGAGGAACACTGCTGAAGTTTTCAACAAGTACAATCATAAATCCTAATTTCTTATTTATGGTTTATCTAATTTTCAATGATTCAAAGTTTAAGTCCCTTTTTTTTATTTTTCAATAAACGTTATCTATTAATTGAGGATCTTTTAAATAGACCACACCACATGCGTCATCTTCATGTGTAGAAGAGTTTTCATTTGGTCGTATTTCATTGTAAGAACACACACACACACACGCACACACACACACACACAAACACGCACACACACACACACACACATGTACATACATGCACACACATACACACATTGTATATACATGTCTTTACGAACGAACATAAACAGACACACACATAGAAACAAACAAAAACAAACATCTTAATAAATACAAAGGAAGTAACTTATCATTAGCTATGGGATGTGTTTAATGTGCGTGCGTGTGTTTGTGTGTGAGCGACAATGTATACGTGTATGTACACGCAACAAAGTCTTATCAGATGAACAGTCTGGCACATGTTTGATCTTGTGATGCTGTGCCACATACAAAAACACACACACACACACACACACACACACACACACATGCATACATCAAATAGCAAAAAACAAAATACAAAAACACACTTACAAAAATCCAAACACACATACTTAAGCACACGCACAAAAGCACTTCCATAGAAATGTACACTCACATGAACACATTTAACTTAAAGGAACACGCACACAAATAAACATGCCGAGCACACACACACCACACACACACCACAAACACACACAAACACACACACACACTACAAACAAACATGTCTTATGTGCTTCTCAGTCATCCGCACTTTGTTTATATATTTTGCGATAACCTCAATAATTTATTTAAAGTTTTTTTTTGAACATTCTCTTTATTACAAGCCACATTTAGCGCGCCAACTGACGAGAGGAGTACAAACACGTCTGCAGCTTTATCGCTAATTATCTCGTTAATAGAAAAAAGTCGAGGCTACAGGTGGACGTAGAAGGAACGAAAAATGTTTCAAATAAATCATACACGTACGTGGCATAATAAATTAACCAGGCCTCTCTCGCGACGTGGCGTGCATTGGATTGATGCACGAGTTAACAAAAAACGTTCACATGCATGCATGCACTGCACATCTATACAGGTGGATGTTTTCATGCTTTTATTCACTTCCACATTATTTTTGTTCGTTACGTTAATTATTTTAATTAATGTGCGAATTTCACGTGAGTTGGATAGGGTTTGGAATAAAATGCCTCATTGCTGGTGCAATTTTTTACAGAAAGAGCTCTTCGAAGCTGCAGTTATTGCATCAGTTCAGCTTACATTTTTAATAAAGTAACGTCAACAAAGAGCATACGAGTTTCTTAAAAGGCTAACGAGAGTTCAGCTATATATTATAATTAAATCTAAATTTATTATAGAAAGAAGATAATGGTGAATAAAATGTAAATAATTATTTGACAGCAAGCAACCTGCCACTTAAAAACCAGCAGCAGAATTCATCCACTGTGTACACTTATCAATCAATTATTACAAGTATAATGCGTGTGCATTGGAATATAGATCGTTATAAATCATTTGCCACTCTTGCAAAATTCTGAAATAATTCATAACCTCGGCTCGTAGAGACAGCTCGTTAACGTAATTTACAAGTTTTGGCAATCCAACACACACACACAGGCACATAGACACACACACACACACAGACACACACACACACACGCATATATATATATATACATATAAATTTATTTATCAATAATATAATAAATATAAATATAACAATAGAAATAACAATAATATAAATTTATATGCATGTACAAACAAATAGATACACACTCACACGTACACATTTATTTATTTTTTATTTGTTTATTGCATGTTTGATAACGTCTAAGACAGAACTTTGTTGCGAGATCAAACAACGTTTTTCAACACATGAGAAATATGATTCTTCATATTTGTGATTGCATGTTTTTACAGCATGTTTGATGTTGATTTGTTTGTCTGTTACCCTGTGTTGATGTTGCTTGAATAGGCCGCAAGTTGTTGACGTGTTTTGTGTGTTGAATATTTCGTCTTCATGCATTGGTTGTTGCATAATGTCTCTGCCAGGCTTATGCTCATCCTGCCACAGTTTGTTATCAGCAGTTGTTTTAGTATTCATTCAGAGTTAAAATTTCAAATCGTCCTACATATCATCTCGTTCAAGTTCTTGAAAATAATAGAGTACATCTTGGTTGGACGATGAAACAGCAGATAGGCGTCTGGTTCGCTTTGATTGAAAGAACTTGTGTGGAAATATTTTCAATCTTTAAACTGGGAGTTATATAAATCAAACAAATACCAGCTAACTCAACTAAACCTGCAACATAATTTTTTAAATAAAAAGATTTTCTGGTGATTCTGCTTTTAATATATAAAAATGTGATGTTGTGTGCTGGATACGTTCATTACACGTTGTGAGTGTTGCGTTCATATTGGTGTGATGTTGTGTCTTTAGAATGTTTTGTGTTGAATGTTGTGTTGGGTGTTGAATGTTGTGTTGGGTGTTGAATGTTGTCGTTTGAATTTTATAAGTTGAATGTTGTGTGTTGAATGTTGTGTGTTTAATGTTGTGTGTTGAATGTTGTTAACCGAATGTTGAATGTTGTGAACTGAATGTTGAATGTTTTACCCATCTTGCATTTTTCATGTTTTTGATTGTTCAGTAATGTAATATGCAGAATGTTGCTGGTGAATGTTGCATTTAATTTTGTAAACATTTTATTTTCTTCCGACTCTGCAGTGTGAGTTTGACGTCCATTTTGTTTACTTTACATCACTCCATTCAAATTTTAGAACTTTATGTTCTCTAGCTAGCTGAAGTTGCAAGTTGGAATTTCAACGTATATTTCACATCGTGTGCTTCACTCATTTTTTGGTATGGTACTCGTTTGGAAGGTTTGAACGTTCCACCTCAGAAACTGCAACATGATTTTAGTGAACTATTAAAAATATTGAAACAAAATTATTACACTGAAATGTAATAAAATGTATTTTTTTAAATGATTTTTTAACCATATGATTGAATTATTATTTTTTAATCAATTAAAACATTTCAAACAAACTCAAATCACGTAAAAATTTGTAGTTTAAAACTGAAGTTTTCGCGTTAACTATGAAAAAATTTGTATATTGTATATTTGTATTTAATTTTTATTATTTGTGTAAAGTATAAAAGCAGATATAAAAAATGAAATAATGCAAAAATAAAAAATGAAAAAATATTACATAACGACAAATTTCAAAAATTTGAATTAACCTATCGACGAGAAAGTTTCCACAAGAATATATATTTAAAATAATTGTATATAAACTTGTGAAATAATAATTGCACTCGATTAAAACATTTCCATTCATGTTTCACACATTATAAAACGTTACATTTAAACTACTAAATAAATTTAAGTGTCATTGTAACATAAAAAGATGATTTTTGACATTCATGGGCTTGACAAGAAGTTCATCCACCTAAATACGATTTCCAACAAAAAAATCTTCAGTAAATTTCAAAACTACATTCCAAGTAGATCAATTCTTTGCACGTACGCACACAGGCAGAAACAAAAGAAAACAAATAAAGAAACAAACAGCAATAAACGAGCCATTAACAAATTTATTGAAACCATTAAAATGAACTCAAACAAAATGTCAAACAATTAAAGAAATAAATAAAGAGATAAACATGGAATGGAAGTTCACAAAATATTGATTGATGTTGAAGAATGTGTTACTGTTGTTGTTGTTGTTACTGTTGTTGTTACTGTTGTTGTTGTTACTGTTGTTGTTGTTGCCGTTCGCCTTTAAGTCAGCATGTTATATCTGATAGCCACCATCCAGCACGTTACAGATATCAACAACGAATTCCTTATCAACATTTCTCATCAAGACGATATCATCATCATCAACTAGGTACTCATCGTCATCATCGTATTCTATTTTTTCTTTATCATCATCATCACCATATTCATCATCATTATTATCATTCTCATTGTCATCATCATCATCATCGTCGTCATCATCATAATCATCATCATCGTCGTCATCATCATAATCATCATCATCGTCGTCATCATCATAATCATCATCGTCGTCGTCATCGTCATCATCATCATCATCGACAACATCATCATCATCATCGACAACATCTTCATTTTGCTCCTTGGTATTTATTTCATAAAGAAACTTTTGCCTGCAATGTTCACTCAGAAGTTGAAAAGAAATTTCTCAAGTGTACAAAAGTAGCTGATGTACATCACATTTGCACACACGCACCCACGCACATACAATTGTATGTACACGTACAGTACTCATTTGCATACGACTCCATGTTCACATAAGCACACACATTTACACATACATTTGTTTTTACTTGTACATACATATGTGAGTAGAAAATTGCATGAACACAGACTCACAGAGCAGACATCAGCGCACACAAATTCACATTCGAACGTGGTTTCGCCGCACTGGTACGAACAGACACTGACACGCAAATATAATAACTGAAGGAAGCCACATATATTAATAGGCACGCATTTATGTGCATTTAATGCTGATGATGTATGTTCCCTTCCTGTGTGTCTGACTATGTAATGTAAGTGATCATCTCTCCGCCTTGTTTTAGGGGGCCATCCATTCAATCACGATAATCTGCTTGAGTATTTTGTACATGCAAGCTGATTCGCACAGAGACACACATATACATGTATATTTTTTTATTCATTTATACATTATTTCATTATACATGCATATATTTTATTCATTTATACATTATACATTTATTTATTTATTCATAATATATATATAAAGTGAAATACCACAATTCACATTAGTATTCCAAGTCACGTGATTTAATGTGAAACAATTTTATGGACAATCGGGAAATTAGCGCGTTTCTGAAAACGTGCAGACCCACCAGAAAACAACACAGCTAAACTTTAGACGTGCAATTACTACTGACCAACAATATATTCATGGTTTAGAATTGAGCT